ATCATACTTAGTCTACTTTGACTTCTTGTGACTTTCGGCGTATCTCCAATGTCAACTTCTCCGGAACCATGTGCCGTATCATGTGGTGTACTACAGTTCCATCTCTCCTCGGGTCTGGAAATTCATGTCGAAGATCCAGTTCGGGTGATTCAAAAGGGTCTTTGTAAAACACCCCACCAAGCTTCTGAATGACCTTGCACCGCTCTTCCATATTTCTCGCGTTCTTTATCCGACCAACTCCCATACTGCGACCGTCTTCCTCAAAGACCCGGAGAACCCAAGCGCCGCCCGTGGATGGGTACCCGGCAATGACATGATCGCTTTGTCGAGACGTTATTGGGTAGTCGCCAAGGTTGGAATAATCTTCTAGTTCGCGGGGGTATTCGCTGTCAAACCACACCGCACCGAGCATGCGCATCCTCAAACAGTGCGCATCTTCCTCCGCCTGGTCTTCAGATCTTAATGTGGGTTCGAAACGGTCGAGCTGAAGGAATTCGAGGTCTACGCCAACGCAGTCGTCTAGGAAGAAAATCCCACCATGGCTTGGCCATCCACGCACCGCTGTGCCGGATCTTATGCCAAACGAGGTTCTGTACTTTTGTTCCGGGGTTATCGTGTCCTTGTAGCCGCGGCAATAGGAACAGCGAGAACAATCACCGCCATCGTCATCGTCGTAGCCGTCTAAAGATGGTATGATCGTCATGATTCGATAGTACTCGACAGCCCAGGCTACTAGTCTGACAGTAACATAGAAGTAAGATGCAATTGATATGGGGTACAATAATTGCGACGGCCTGAGCAATATTTGTAGAGGGGCAGTGAAAATATTCAAGGTCATTTTTCGCGAATGGCACTCCAAAGGCCGCAAGTTATCTCGGGAAATTGAAACTTTAATCAGCGAGGCCGAGTCGGTCACTTCTGTTTTCTAGTAAACCGCTGACTGATGCCTATTTCGCCGAGAAATGCAGTCAACTCCCGCCCTGTTAGCTGCCTGGATAGGAGATTACTTGCTTATGCCTGCAGCCTGGCCCAGAAGCATGGCATGGTCTGTTGGTTGCTGCCTTAGTCATTCAAACTCCCCGACAACAATGACAGGAAGTGTGTCGCAGTATTAGATGGCTTGATAAAAATAGAGCTTGGTCTTTCTATTGCACAGAGCTTTCTATTGATGTTACCACAGTGTCCCTCAAACTTTATACACGTGTTGCACAAATGCGGTAGGCAAAGCCCTTGGAATTTGAGATGCTACTCACGTCTTCACTGGACAAGTGCTTCACCATTGTATTGCCAACACTCTAAGAGCCTACTTGGCCAGTGGCAGCTACTTAATCGGCGGCGGGGAAAGATCTCACCCGGTCAAGGTCACACCATCGGGGGATATCTGCTTGACAAGCCGCCATGTGTCTCAACCACAGAACTTAATTTCTCAAAACAGGCAAATTGATAGGCCAAACTCAAATAACGCAGATTAACGAACCTCCCACTGCGTTCACCACATACTGCCTCACCGCATGATACAGCGTGTGTCATTCACCCTATGCCTGTAGATCTAGTGTACACCCAATATCCTAATAACGAGCTCTGGGACCTCATCGACTTCTTTGTAGAATCTCCCGCCGCAATTTCCGATCATCTGGCATCGTTCCTCCATCTGCCTTGCATTGTGAATTCTCGCAGCTCCAGCGTCAGCAGCCTCTGCCCTGGTGGTCTTCAACAGCCAGAGACCACCCGCTGCTGGATAGCCAGCAATGACAACCGCATCTTCCCACGTGGAATTCCCAAAGGACTGGTTGACCAGATAATGCGTCAGGCTCTTCCACCAGTTAGGCCCAAGCTTCATCATCCTTGCGCAGTGCGCATCCTCCTCTTCCGGATCCCCTGACCTGAACGTGTGTTCGAAGCGGCTCAAACCCAAGAAGTCGAGTTCCACGCCGTCGCACTTCAGCGTATAACATCCACCGGTGCTCGGGTATCCATAGACTGTGGTCCAGTGACCCACGCCGAAAGCTGTACGGCGATTGAGGAGTAGGCGTCCTGCGTCATTAAATGCGGCGACGAGGCGTTCTTCGCGTCTTAGTGCTTTACGAAATTGATGCTCTGCTCGTCTTTCCTCGCATCGACAAGGTCTTTGGCCATGTCCGGCTTACAATGCTGACGACAGTGCTTCGGACGGCATGGTCACTGCCGGCCGGCAAGGCGGTTCGGCTCGGGAAGACATATGCGCTGAGAGCAAAACCATGGCAGTGTAGAATACAATGGCAGCGGTGGCGTAGAGGGTGTGAGACATTGTTTTGGGGATAACTCGGTCGCTCGTCGGGCAGAATACACGGCCTCGCCTCTAGGTATCAAGACCGAGGTGTTCTTGGCGGCGGGGAAGCCTGAGGGCATTGACAGTGTGCTACTTGCACTCAGCCCAGGGTTGCCGGCGGCATGCTGAAAGTAAGTTTTATATAAGTCAAACCCCCCACTTCCTGGCACCCCCCTGTTTCTGGCACCCACAAAAACGATGGGATCACAACCCAACCTCCTCATTACTATTAACTATTGATCCTCAACCACACCCACTACAATACAACTGCCAGCCTCACTAGGGCATTCAGAGTCGCTGGATTCAGCCGTAATAACCTCCTTTTCACCCGCTTCGATTTGAGCCCGATGGATATCCCTGATGTTCGCAAACTTCGTGTTGGGATCGATCTGAACAGTCTTCCTCTTCCTAACTGCAGCGTTGGTAACTTGAGCCCTCAGGTGAGCCAGCTGCTGCTGGGCAGCTGCCAGTTGCCAGGCCTGCTCTGTGAAGCCTTTTTTCACCTTCCTGAACAGCAGCCGTTGAGTGCTGGTATCATTGTCGAGTTGGGTGTATAAGTGCAGTTGACCGCTGAGCTCTGCCAGCTTCCTGGGTGTCGACCAGACCACTGCAGAGGAAGCAGAATCCCATGGCTCAACAGGGGTAGTTTGTTGACCATTATGGCATCGCTTTTGCCCCGACTGGTTGGTTTGGGTGTGGTGGGCAGAAGGCTCAGGTAATACCATAGGGTTCATCAGGGCTTAACCATCGCTACAGGGTGTAGACCAGTCCACTTCCAACCACTTCTGATGTTCGAGACTGATAGACCAGCAAGTCGAGCCTTCTGGTAACAGTCCAGGAAGTTCCTTTTACCTATAATGGTAGAGTCGTTCCATTGAGACAAGTAACCGAGCTCCTTCCGATAGGCTGACTTAACAGGGCTGAAGACAGACTGGTCAAGTGGCTGGAGGACATGAGAGGAGTGGTGGTAAGAACAGTAAATGGATATTGTTAATATAGCAATTCCACATGAAGTCTGTCGTCGTATGACTCCCATGCCCATCCACAATCAACAGTCGAGCCTCGCCCTCAGCCTCGGGCATAGTCTGTGGGATAAACACCTTCTCTAACCATTCAATGGCAGTTAAGTCTGTAGTCCAGCCATTATCTGTTGCTGTAAACTCCCACCCATCGTATGGAACCAGATGTAATGGAAACCACTGTTGTTGGACCGTCTTCCCTTGAAAATGATAAGAGGACGAAGTGCCCTACCCAAGGCTGAGATACACTCAATGATAGAGACCCATGCCCTCGACCCAGGTTGTTTCTTGCGAACAGACGTCGTCTCAGCCATGCCCAGCACTAACCCATTAGCTCCTGACCCTCGAGGATGCCAGTCTCATCCATATTATATCTGTTGGCTGGTTTGATGTCCTTGATCTCAGGGATAGCAAGGAACTTAAACCAGTTCCTAATGACCTCAGTAGATGCCCCATTAACGCGTCTAGAATCGATGGAACGACTTCTCTGAACCTTAATGATAGGGTTCCTTCTCACGAAGGCATAGATCCAGCCTTTTCTAATGGTTTGGTATCCCCAGCAGCAGCCAGAACTCGCTCTGCGAATTCCTTCACCTGTTGGTGCGTTGGTGCGAGGCCCAGCGAAGCCTGAATGCGAACCCATTGTGCCAGCTTACTCTCCTGGTCAGGAGACAGCCTCTGCCAGTCAGCAAAAGCCACTTTCCTAGTCTGACCACCTTGGAGACGTAGTTGGAGGGTTGATCGTGGTATCCCATACTCCAATGAGGCTCTCTTTTGACTCTTGCCGTTTGAGATGTCCTCGAGCCTGACAAGCTGATCTTCGGTATATTGAGGCATTAGATATAGAAGAAGGTATGTGCAAAAATGAGCCCATTTGGACTCAATTGAAAATGTTGTGATAAAAGGAGGTTGGGGGTGGGCATTGCGTTGTGGTGGATTTTCGCGTTTTTGTGGGTGCCAGAAACAGGGGGGTGCCGGGAAGTGGGGGGTTTGACTTAGTGCATCAGATATACGGCATGAAAGTGCGAACCCAGCAAACTAGTCTTGACGATGATGCCGCGTTCTATATCGCTGCCTTCAAAGCGTCGGAGACTCCCGAGTCAATAGAATCATGGCGGCCTAATTGACGACGTTGGACTCGTCCTCTCATGCTTGGCAGTTCAGGCACCCAAACTAACTGACCATCCGCTTGAACACTCCATCAAAACGATAGGAATTATTCGATGTCGTCCATGGAACAACACGTAAGCTGTTGCTGCCTAGATGCCAATTCTGAGACCGACATGAGCTATTGCAGCCTACCTAGTAACAAGAGGAGTATCGCTTTTGTGCAATGGTTAATGCAGACTATTGTGGAACATAGGCAGAGGTATATGTTTTATTTGATGATATGTGCTTCGGAAGTCAACTTTCTTGAACCCTGGTTGACGCAACAACTTGAACCCGTGTATATGATGAAAGCTTAACTACAGCAGTGAACGGCGAACAAATACTTCATGCAATGCTTTTCCAACCAGTGCCACCCAGATTCGAGGAAACAATACGCTTATCCATGAGGGGGAATCATATGTTCGATACAAGGCCGTTTTCATAAAGAGGTCCGGTGGCTACATGTAGGTGCGTTCTCCTCAGGAACGTTGCCCAGCCATTCCATGACCAGAACAAGAATACAACTATGGCTCGTGGTCGTCGTACGACTTTCGTCGTTGATCAAATATTTCAGTGAAGGTCACAACTTCTTTTTCGCACATCTCCATTGATGGTGGCGGCGGGGCTGGGGTAGGAGCAACTTCGACATTGGATATTGGAGCAGCTTTGCCGCTAGAGTTGATCCAATGAATGACAAACGCGGTGAAGAGAACTACCCAACTTTTAGAGTCTGATCGAAGTTGCAGAACGGCTCTGACGAGGAGGAAAGACAAAGCGGGAAGGTACGAGGTAAACTTACTGTCCGTATTGCAACATGTGAGACAAAGCCAGACTATCTCGCCTTCCAGAGCGACCAACACTGATAGGTTGCTAGAAGAGATCGATGTTAGCCCAATCAAGAAGCTCATGCTGTCACATCAGATATCTCTGCTTACGCAATACTAATGGCCAATGTGCCGATAACACCGGCAAACGTTCGCAATGCGAGTCTCCGTAGCCTTACGTTGGGCGGAACTCGAGAGAAATGAAGGGTATTCTCATGCATCGTCCATGGCTTCATCATCGATATTTGGATCGAGTGTAGTCCTAATGACCCGGTGTCAGAGCTCGTTCAGGCTCGGAGGAACTTAGGAGCCACATGACTTACTCAGTAGTGGAAACAAGAACAGCGACGTCAGATACACGTTGACAACAGCGTCAAAGAAAATGACGGGCAACAGGATGGTGCGTTCCAGTCCGATACTGCACACATCGTTCTCCTTGTCGTACCGAGACCCTCGACTAGCAGAGCAACAGGTGTCAGTGTATGTTTCGGGGAGCATGAGAACACTTACGAGACAAAGTTGAACGTTGCTATAATGCCGTACACAGCTAATGGTAATCCGTTAGGGATGTTGGCGACTGGGCTCGGAACATGGACATACCTAGCATGACAAACGCATTGAATACATACAATTTGGACTTGAGACGAGACTTGGTAGTGCCTCGGATAACATGCTGGTCAAGGCGTTAGCCGTGATTGAGATCGGGGGGTTATTTGGGGTAGAGTTTTACCGCTTTATCAACCATGAAAAGGTAGACGAGCTGATTGGAGAGTCAGATTGGCCAAGATTCAACGATTGGGGTTGAAGCCTGGACGGCCAGTAAACTTACGGCCTGTGACGAATTTAGCAATGATACCAACGACGGACTTGATTTACAACTTACTTTGATTACGACATAGGCAGTCAGGCACAGTATGCCCGCAGCTGAACATGGTACGAAATCCATGCGAAGCTCAGCCAGAAATAAGAGCTGGAATACCCATGATCCAAAGACGAAGAGGCATGAGAAGAGGTAGATGAATAACACAACTGTGGCAGGTCCTGTCAGCCCAAAATGTTCCAGGCTCTTCGATATGCCAACCCTTACGCCATCTTGTCCAAGGCAACGGACGCCAATCTTTGATCGCAGACCACTGGTGACCTTGAAAGCCATTAGACCTTGTCGATAACCTAGCAGCAACGATTCCCTCACGAAGTAAGTATGCCAGTAGGCAAGACGATATGGGTGCGATGATGAGGCTGATGATCTGCTCGGGGCGGATCTCGTGTTTCGGGCTACTCGACGTCTCGCTGGCTGTTGATTCGATGTCGTCCATCTCGAAGGGGGGATTCGCCAAAGGAGTGTCACGGTGGAGGAGGACCTCTGACCTCGTATCGATGCCAGTTCCCTTCAAAATCAACGCTGGATGACATGTGCTGAATGATGAGATCCTGAGACCAATGGGTCCTGGAATGTACCAGCTGGTGTGCCTTGGTATAAGTAGATTTCAGATCTACGAAGGTAAGATGCGGCCGAGTACGCATGTAGGGAGGCTTAAGGTTTGAGGCGTTGCCGCTGGGCTACTGTGCAAAAGGGTCGGACTGCCAGTCGTGGATTAGGTTCTGAAGGAAGCCTTACGACGGTGTTATGACTCGCTTTTGGATTTGGGCCACTTCAGTCGAATATCCAGTCTGGCCTGTTGATGGTGTCTTTCAGATGAGCTTACCGCTTTGCTGGCACCGTCATCCTCGTAACTTTTTCCAGGCAAGTGACTATCAGACTGGGCGTGCTTGACATCAAGACTAGAGCTTGCGGCTGCCAAAGTCAAGAAATTCCGGTATGAGCTTCCTACAGTGCTACCATAGCGCAAGTCCGGCGCGCATGGCGTCCGGCATTTACCTTAACCGCGACTGATTAGCATTCCCAACGGTCGAGAACCACAGTGTTTCCTCATATCCGGACATCGCTGGTGGCCGACGCTTGAATTATTCGCCGCAGCCAGCAACTGCAGCATACTTGAGACGATTGTCACCCCAAGGGGCTACAAACTTCGCAGGGTGCCAAGGTAGCACGCTGCACAAGGACCGACTGAAGCCTTTGAGGAAACTAGTAATATCGAACGTCTACTATTGTTTCGTCTTGTACCCTCGCCAGAAAGATTCTCGCGAGGGATTCAGCGATGCCTGCCGGGCAGAATGCGTGGCACCCCCATCCCACACTTGTATGGTTTCCATCTCCCCTAGCAGCCCGTTTCTGTACACCGGGGGAAACTTTAAGCCCCAAACGGGATCATTCGAAGAGACGGTAACGGGCCTAAGCTCTGCAGTGGAGAGGTTGCGAGCCAATCGAGTGTTTGGACTGCTCGTGAGGAGTGAGTGTCATAGCTCCTGCTAGCGGCGATTGATACATCAACCCGATGTGGTTCTGGATCTAAATCCATGGTAATATGCGGTCCGGACGTAAGTTTCTCGGTCCCCCATCTTTGGAGGCGTCAACATCCCACATAAGCCTTGGAATAATCGTATTCCAGTCCCTTGATGTGTGACGGTAGTATCTCGTGGGAGATGCCAGGAACGCCCTTGATTCCCCTGCGTGGTGACATGCACTACGCTAACTGTAAGCTCCGGCTGCTCTGCTCAGAATTACCTACCAAACAGTTTAGCCTTCACTTGCAGTCTAAGGAGTAGTCCCTTGCGACAAACTGGAGCCCTTGTTCATCGTCAAAGACACAACAGTCTGAAATCGCGTATTTGGTTATTTGTATTCAAATACTTTATTTGGTAACACAAGTGCGTAAGTAGGCGTCAAATCATCGGCATGTTAGCCGGCACTGTGCCGCCGGGGTTCTGGCCGCATGGCTTTTTGTGGCTGATTTGGCTTCAACGGTTCTGCTGACCGGGCAGACAATGTCGTGATGCACAAGGTGCTACTGGTCGTCCTGCCCGTTGTTATGCGTCATTGACACGTTTCGAGGTGCAGGCGGAGATGTAGCACACTTTACAAGAATGGCAGGTTTCCTCGCGAGGGCTCCCTCACCCATATGCATCAAACCACTCGACACGGAAGGGATATGACTTCTTGAACGTGAAAAATTTGCTGCCAAGAAAGACGGGGAACCGCTGCATGTTTTCGTTTTTCATCGAGTGTTGACATCCCAGAAATTTAATACGCCACAAGCAGAGTCTCAGTACAGAGCTCAAGACGGAGCTTTCCATAATGGAAACGCCAACAAGACTGGGCGACGCAATGAAACGGTCTAGGAACCGGCACACGGCCTCTGGAGCGTGGTCCAGCAACGCATCAAGCTGTAGAGCATTTTCTTCAGGTGACAGCTGCACCAAACTCGGCCTCGGCCAGAGTCCTGGGTTCTCCCGACTTTCTCGAACTCTAGTTCGGATTCTCCCGACGGGTCGGAGTCACTTACCCTTCCCGTGGGAGGGGCACTGGGGGATCGGAGGAGAGGGGAGCGCAGGGGAGGACACAAAGAACTGCTGTCTTGGCGTCCGGGGCACCCCCACATCGGCACCCAACCTTGGTGAGTCGGGCTCCTGGGCAGTTGATTCGGTTTCGCACCTGGTACTGAGCGCCGCATGCACTAGGATTTGGTCTGTTTAGGCTCTTGCGGACCTTCCCTAGGGCTGAGGATCACTTCAAGCCGGCAGCAGGCCAGTCCGTGGTCAGGACTAGACTTTCCACAGACCCTTTGGACACTTTACTTACCCTTTTGAGAATACGTATGCGGTAGCTCATTGGTGGGAGCAAATTGCCGTAACGATTCTGTTTTGTATAGTAGTGATAGAGGTAGAGTCGACTTGGTGTCCGGAACGTGCTCTTTTCACTGATAACGTGTGGGCAAGCTTATTAGCGGGTTATTGTTAAGGTGTCAACGGACGACAGACTATCTCCGACTAGCCGCTGTGCGATGATGATCCAATTTATCTCTACCTTCACATACTCAAGTAAAAGTTTACATCAGTTATTTGACAAGAGAGACTTCGGTTCCTTGATCGTGACGATCCCCTCTCCCTCGTGACGAGGGCAGACTATCGACCATCCTCAATTCTATGCCTTACGCTCTCGCGAGAGTCTAGACTTCGGCTGACTCGCTTTGATGTGACAGCGAGACATACCTTGCACTCGAACGCGACTACTTTACCATTTTAGGATGTGCTAAATCCCGCTATCCCGGCAGGCTTCTGGGCCGATGCTCGAGCCGAGCCGGCGTTGTCGAGAAGCGCGGTGCAAACGCGAGATAGTATACGAAAAGGTCATCTGTTTTTGGCGACTAATGAGCTTTCTCCTTTCATGTCTCCCGCGTGGTATACGATGAAGTACGCCTGACACTTAACCACGTTCATTCTTCTGAAATAGGTAGATAAGTACTTATCGGCAAGTACGGCTTTTCTTTCCCTGCTGTGAACACATGGGGTTTTCTACCTTTCTTGATGACGTGTGGTTTAAGGGACTCGTAAGTACGGGATCTCGATATTGCGGTACTCGCAAATAGATACGCAGGGTCCGAAATAGTGATGGCAGGCCGTACGATTTTACACCGTGATGGTGGCACACGAAAGTGATTTATATTCTAGAACCCCTAGAACTCCATGCACAATACGTTCTCTAAACTACCTTGGAACTCACTATTACTGGTGAGCCTGGCCTCTTTCTCGCAGGTCGACCGGCCCTGTCCCCGATCTCAACAATAACGTTAGGTGGATACATATTGTTTGTAGTTTTAGCGGCACCTTTGTTTTGAAGAAACCATCTAGGCGCGTCGAAATTGTCACAGGACATGCGGCAAAGTGCGGTCGGCGCTTGGTGAGGTGCAGAAGCGTCACTGCCACAGACCGCAATCTACTACTTAGTGTGCGCTGGGGGCGTGTAAGTTTGTACGTCTAATGTGATGATGTCTGAGAGCTGTCAAAGTTTCACAGACGTGCAGTCGGGGCAATGAAAGTCGGCGTGTCGTCCAAGCGGCAGTGCCGTGAAATTAGGCCGACGGTCTGCTTGCCAGTAGTAGATGGCTGAAGAGAACGGGCTCAAAGTAGTTCACGACGCGCAAGGATGGAATCTTCGGCCTGAGAATGCATAATGCTCGAGTCATCCCGATCGACCATTCTATGAACTGATTAGTTCAACACACTTGCGACGTTCTATTGTGAATTCTCTACGTTTGGCCGGCCCAGAATCCGGTCATGACTTCCAAATCTGTAGTATGTATATCAACTCTAATTGCCAGTGAATAATAATATGGTTCCTGTGCAGAGAGCTCAACAGCAAAACCCGGCGGAACGCCATTCGTAATCAGGATTTCCAAGGCTCCGGCCAAGCCGATTAAACATCAAAATGCAGGCATTTACACCGAAGTTTCCTAATTTCGTTATACGTTCGCCAAGGACCACTGGCAAGCAGGAGTACTGGGACCATCGGTGAAGTTCGAACTTAATGGAGAGTTGGCTCCTTGCGTTAGTATCTCCGATGTTCGAAGTCATCAACTAGGTCACATGTACTCCTTTCGGGAACTTCTATGGCTTCAGTGACCCAGACTTTGCGAGCTTTGTGGCCTTGAGTTTCGAACCATTATGCCTTACTCATAATTGGAACGAAGAGATTGGTTCGCTCAACTAGCTAATCCTAGGTCTTATAATTGCATGTGAGATCAATTCTGAAAGTTCATCTACCAGTCCTGTCAGAATCCAAAGATGAGATTGCTGCATAACTTGGCATTAATTCGGGTCAGTATCTGTTTTCTCACCAATGCCCTGTTGAGTGATAACGGAGTATACACAGAACGATGCATAAACACTTGAGGCTTCAAGTCACAAAATAGAATGCCTACATTCTCAACATCGCATAATCATTTAGACCAGAGCTAGTGTATCCCGAACTATGCCTCTGAACAAACGTAAGGGCACAATTCTGGTTCAGGTAATAATACGGCTCGCATTCAAACATGCGATAGAAGGCACGAAAGACCACTCCTGCGTTACCTATGAGAAGCCCCGCGTCTCGGCAATACTACATAAGTTGAGAATAAGGCATATCGACTTATTTGAAAGCGGTTTCCGGGGCATGTTCGATCAATCGAACAAAATCTTTCTTGCAAACAGAATATCTTCAGAATCAAGCACTCTCATGCCTACCTAAGTCATTTCTGAACGACAAAAAAAGAAGCCTTCTGTTCAGTATCCGCTGCTATACTATGAAATATACCATTCACTAATAGAGGACCTGATGTCCTTGCAAGCTGTCACGATATCCCACTTCCCTGATGTACTTAGAACAACAAGTCTGAATTAATAGTATTTGAATAGAGATAGATTTTACTGCACAAGTATTACTTTCTGGATATGCTCAGATCAAGGGGAGTAAGTCCATGACTCGAAGCAACGGATGGACATCATGTAAACTGAACTCGCCGACATTCTTTATCATTCTGCTTGGCTCATATCGAAGCACAAAATCACTGCATGCTGGATATGTTGCAGATGACTACCTTGCGTGCATTTGTCATGTTCGTGTGTAGGTAGTCAAGGCATCAATGCGTTGGTCTATGCGACCTGAACACACCCATTTTCTCGTACGGGTGACAAATAGTTGCAGGATGCGCTTCCTGCCTTCCGGTGGGATCTGTACCTCACCTGCCTGGGCAGCCGAGATGTGGTTCCAAACTCGCCTCAGATTGCCGAGGGCTATGTCACGGGACAGGACGAGAGAAAGACATGGCCAATTTGGTGGGTTTGGACTAGCTATGCGATATATACCAGATAAACTTCGAGAATGGCGTGTATCAGATTCACCGTAAAGCCCTTGCCATGACCTATCGATACAACGTCTCATCGGCCCTAGGAGACGTATGAGCTACCTTAGCAATATCAGGCTACCCACGAGAAGACTATGAGTAAGCTGTTAAAAGCCTAATTTCGCTTCTCACTGGCTGTGAAGTGTAATTATAATGTGTACTATGTTTGTGGAAGCAGCATGGACTTCACAACAATCGATATATGGATATTACTTCTCTACAAATGACGTTTCTTGAGTCCCGACCCTTCCATTATTCGCAGATACTCACATTTACGGCAGCGAAGGTTTATACGCTAGGCATTGAGTGTTGGTACCGTTTCTATTTGACAAGTTTGTTCAACACCCAAAACTCAAGGTGCACGTGTACTCGCAAGATTCGAGTCTTCGGGGTGAAACCTAAAGCGATGGAACGATGCCTGGCAGAATTAGTTCCACCTCCTGTTGTGAAGCCCCAGGCCACTTAGTCGTCTAGTCACTCTAGTCAGTCTTGAAGCGGCTGTGCGCCATTGCGATCGTCAAGTATCACCCGCCACGAATCGGGCATTTTCAATTCAGATATTTGACTTCAGTCAAGCCACGTACGCCACGTACGTACATCTTCATCAACCGAGGCTGCCGATTGTTGAGCTAAAGCTCAGACCTGTACGTTGGACAGGACTGGAGAAACGCACAAGCTTGCAGGTGCCAGGTGGTAAGTGCTCAAATCGCTTGCGTGTTTTCGCTTCGTTCCGACTTCAAAGCAGTAAGATTCTCCGAGACGTCTATACGCGGCTCGAGTCGATTTTTTCATCCGATGAAATAGAATTTAGAGCCATGACGGGTATTCGCGATTTGCTACAGGAATTGCTCGCGGATGAAGAGCGGCCAGGCACTGCGCCGACAAATTCCAGAGCTAGCCTGCGAAGTCACGATCCCGCAGCCAATCTCTTGCGTTACCACCATCATCCCGTAATAACCGTAATAATTCTGCTGGAGCAAACCTCTGCATTTGCACTCTACGAATTACAGCCAAGCTTCGTAAATTCTGCCCTGCTGTTGGGGGAGATGTTTGAGGAAACCAATGCGATCCAGGTCAAGTGATCGGATATGTCCCCTGCAGTGCGGCTGGACGCTAGGAGTCTTGAAGCTAACGTAACTTGGCTTTAGCTTCATTGCGAGAGCCTAAGCTGTGACCCTTTGCCCTGCAAATTTCCTCTCCAGGGTGGCTTAGCTCAGGGTTCGAGGGTACCCAGTGTTCGAGGGTACCCAGTTCATAATGATCACGAATCCCAGGTCCTGGCTGGTCTCCTTCTTCATCACCGCGTGGCTACGATGCTGGAACTCTTACCTATCCCCCCTGTTCCAGAGTTTCGGGTCGACAGAGTCATGAACGATTACAGGGCGGATGTTATATGCAAACATGATCCGACCGGAAGCCCACGATGCTTGCCTTCTCCCAGGATAGGGCTGGGGTTGTGATTTCATTCGGCCGTACAGGGCTGTCTTCAGCTGGCAAACAGCAAGCCGCCACTCCACTTGCTCAACTCGCGGTGGCGGCAAGCCCGGCAATAATCCGTCGGACACGGAGTCGAGAACTGGCGATTTACGTACCCAAAACCCAATGAATTGTTACGTAGCAGTTTGTGTCATGTATAGCTTCTCTCTGGGGCTCATCACGAAAGATGTCAATGGGCAAGTTCTTTGTGTGATGTCGAATGATTTGATGTGTTCCTAGGGCAGCACGATGCTACAACGGTTCTCTTTTCTTTTTCTTTCGTGGTGAGATCGGTCGAATCTGACAGCTCGGAAGACAGCGAGATCATCGTTTCAGTGGCGCACGCCAACTGCCCTGCAAGGTGTTTGGTTGCATCATTCGAATGCCGAAGCCATCGTTGAGTATATCGGATTTGGTCCCTGGACACCACGTTGACGGCCTGCAAATCAGATATCGAACGCATCTCTTGCCTCATTAGTTCCAACGGTCATCGACCGAGATTATCGCCTTTCTCGCGACTAGTACACAAGAGAGAACATTTCGAAACAATCTAGACGATGGCTCGCTTGTGAGCCAAGAGCAGTTTGACGCCGCCATCGTGTTAGCGCCGTCGAGTCTCGTCAAAGGTCGCCGTCTTCAGCCTAGCGCCAGAATCCACAACGTGGGCGGTGGGAACTTGAGCTGAAGAATCGTTATGGAGCTTCTATGGCGACAATGGAGTTCGCGGGGACAGGGCGACAAGCAGCATCGCAAACAACGTATGAGACAAAAGATGCAATGAGCAACTCCACAAACGAGATTCTAGCTTACAATAATCGTGCCATTGCAGAAGCCTAACTTGTCTTCTCAACGCAGGGACACCCGAATGAAAGCTAGCATTTCGTGCAACCCATTTCGGTGATCATGCCGGTGGTTCCAAGAAGGATCCCACCCCTGATTATGTCGGAAAAGCACCAATCAACGGGCTTCATAGAATCCAGCTAAGGTTTGGTCTAGCGATTTAGCATGAGTTCGTCAAGTTCTAGCTCAGCCAGACCTCGTGGCAGCCCTTCGCTCCTCGCCCATTGCGCCCCTGTCTTACCTTTTTTTTCTGACAGGCTCGTTCTTAGTGAAATGAAGTAGTCAAAGAGTCGAGGCTACTGCGGCCACTTGATTGCAACAAGACACATATCTTTGCTGGATTCGTTGAACTTTCGATGGAAGCGCGTTGTCTTTTATCTAGAGTTATTGGTGACTACGGCTCTTGGTACGATGTCTTGGAAAGTTTAGAGCAATTGGCTGTCGATCGTAACATACCGCTAATTGTGAATCGCTCACAACTCTGCTTTCCCCAGATCCAGATGAACGGGCGCGCAAATCATCCCTTGCGCCCTCGCCTCAAAAAATCTCCAGGTTGCCAATCTACGTTGAGAGAGGGACCCAGCATCCCGGTCATACTTCCATTTAGGGGAGGTGGAACTCCGGCCAACACTTGAATTCCCATCTTCCTCGATCTGTTCGTTCGTACGGAAGTAGTCTTTACCGACATGATCCCCATCCCCTAGTCACTCGAATGCTGAATAACCGCCCCTCACAAGTTGGGTCAAGTTGATTCCATTCAAGCTAAGGATTATGCCAGGGACAGGGCCTCCATAACTGACCTTGGCTCCGCAGTCTGGTCTGGCCCATCTGTAGAGACCAAGGCCATTTATGATCTGGCTTGCAGCCACTTTTACAACGTCTTTTGCACGAAACCGTCGACCTCTGCGTCAGCCGGCATAATCACCAACAAAAAATTGCCATCGGAGAGGGCGTTGCGCCAAAAGCTTGGATGACAGCTCGGTAAAGACAAGTCGTCTAACGGCGACCCGAACCACCCACCCCGTTCTATCCCGAAACGCCACCTGGCTGCTCCGTCGCCGTTGACCGCACCGCCCGCCATGGAACTGGACCCGAACAGTCAAACATTGACGCCACTTCCCGAAGTTCTGCAACGGGGCCTAACTGCCGTTTCTTTCTTCGGCTTCCTTTCGTTCATCACAACAACGGCACTCTTCTTAGTCTTGACCTATCGGCTGATAACATGGTATCTTGCACCGGGCCCGGACCGGCCACAGCGCATGGCTGATGAGCCGAACGCGGATGCCGTTCTGGCCGAAGAGATGGGTCTTCCGGAGACAATGTACCCTGGCAACAAGAAGCACAAAGTCAAAAGGGACGCACCCAACCAGTTCCTGATGCTCATCTACAACCTGCTGCTGGCCGATATTCAGCAAGCTCTTGCTTTCTTGCTCAATGCGGCATGGCTCAACAAGGGTGGAATCATCGTAGAGAGCACGACATGCTGGGCGCAGGGCTGGTTCATCTCGACAGGCGATTTGGCTTCCAGCGCTTTTATCACCACGATTGCCATTCACACCTATTTGTCGGTTGTCAGGGATTACAAGCTCCCGACTTGGGCATTTTGGTGCATGATCGGCTCTGTTTGGTTCTTCATCTACGCCTTGGCCATAGCCGGCGTCATCATCACCAACAATGGAGCCGACAACGGTGGCCTCTACGTTCGTGCCGCTGCATGGGTAAGTTTTTGTCATTATGTCTACGTATCAGCTCGAGCTAACGTCATCATAGTGCTGGGTGAATGTCCGATATGAGGCGATGCGTCTTTATCTTCACTACCTGTGGATGTTTGTTTCCTTCTTTATCACTGCGAGCCTCTACATTCTCATCTTCAACCACATCCGACGCACCGATCCATCACTTCAACTGCCCTCTTCTTCCAACAACACAACCTCTTCTGCCTCCCAGAGCAATCGCGGTCGTAAGCTCAGTCACGCCCACACAATGTCCCAATCTGGGCCACCAAGGAGCTCCCATGGCGAAGCTGCATCGGCGTCTAATCCAAGCAACGCCGGACATCACCCTGCTTTCCTCATCTATCCCATAATCTACATCCTGTGTACGGCACCTTTGGCGTTAGGTCGTGTCATCACAATGGCTGGAAAGTCTGTTTCCTTAGAGTACTTCTGCCTCGCCGGTGCAATGATTGCATCCAATGGCTGGCTTGATGTTCTTCTATTCTCCACCACTCGTCATGTCATTATCTTCAATGCCTCCCCAGACTTCGAAGAGACAGGTATCGAGACTTTCGCCTTCATGCGAACACCGGCTAACCGGCGTTACGGCAACATGGTGTGGGTACAGGGTGCTGGAAGTGCACCTAACAACCTGTCTGCGGACGAGGGTACCGGCGGCTGGCTCTGGAAGCTTTTCCGCCGGGGACGTGGTGCGGGCGACATGAAGCGAGATCGACGTCGCAGTGGAGCACATCGAAGCATCAGCCAGGAGTCTCTAAGGAGAAGGGCCGGGCAGATGGAAGGCATCCAGATGGAAACAGTGACAACGGTCGTTGTAGAGATGGAAGGTCACGCGGGAGGGAAGAAGGCCAATGGAAGGCCGCTTTCGATTGATACAATTGAGAAAGAGAGGGCACAGAGCGTGGGCAGCATGTGAAAACACATGTTTGCCAGGCGCAAGAGCCAATTGGCAGCAGCCTGGTCGAAGGACCATTGACGGACATCGGCCAATCTACTGATCAGGCCTACAGAGACATCGGGCTCTACATTACGGTATCAGATCTTATATGTTTAATGGGGAGGCAACTTCCTAATGTGCTCTGTTAACGATAGCGGGTTGGGCTTTGGGCGGTCATCTGTATTAGTTATACCCATAATGTCATGTATAGACTTCATTCATCTAGCACTACTAAGTCATCTTATCCACTGTCTACCCATACAAAATCTTATCTCTCGAGGGCACTTTTCTTTTCGCACATATCTTCACTTACCTACGATATGCCCAGCGACCCTTTGAATTAGTGTCAACATTTTAAATGCCCGCAAGACATCGTCTACTCGCATCCGTACAGTGAACTATAACAATTGATCCTATCAAGCCAAGATATTGGACGTCTGATGGAGAGACGAATCACTCAGCCTTCATATATCTCGGCTGTTAGGCTTTATGGAATAGTTACGTTAGGGTTCGTTTGTGGCAAAGTCTAGAAGCCTCAGAATAATCTTGCAATCAGGATCGACTTCTTTGCCATTCCTCAACAGCCTTGTGTCAATTTGACGTGTCACATATATCTTGATGCGTTAGGAAGAGTATCATATTGAAGCTTTTGTTGTTCCATATGAAACCTTGAGCGAGATTCGTGGCTTCCAGACCACCGGGCAAGAGAACAAGTCAAATCGCTGATCAATTTTGACATACGACCCTGCAGTCATTCAGAACAATCGAGATGCCTGAAGCACCTTCCGAGGTCCTCTCTAGAGTGGTACATAAGGTGAGATGAGACATTATTCGACATGATGATGGCATTACAGCACAGGCACCGATTACAACATTAGCCTCTTTCGCGCAATTCAATCGCATCATGACACCGCAAGATACGATACCACACGCTTCAAAACCAGAGCCAATCGCTCATGGAGATCTCTACGTCTTGAATCCACCGACGCCACGGGGCGGGACTGCGAAACGTGACAATGCAGGAGCCTTGGAAATCAAGAATAAAGACGAGAAGTTCAAGTCTGTACTTGAGAACTTGGACTATTTCAACGGTGAAGGGATCAAAGACTTGCTCAAGACATCAGGCATCATCTCAAAAGGATTTGAATTGTTGCAGGATGTTGCCAGATCCCTCCCGACTCCAACATTTATCAGCACGCATGAGCTCGGCGAGGACATGAAAGACATCAATTCAACGCAGAAAGCTCTAGCATACTTTCTCCAGACCACTAGCGGAGTCAAAAACCGGGTTTACGACCACGTGGGCGCGGTCGGCTGTGATGTTGACGAAGATGAGCTTCAAAAAGCGCGGATCATCAACTTTAGGCTAGCGAAGAATCGTGGTCTAACCGAGGAAGACATCGAGTTCATGAAAACCTTGAAAGACTTGATGAACGGCACCACTTCGCTAGCCAATGTCGAATTGTTGGCTCTGAAGCACATTGCCGCTCGGGTTCTGCACGAGGTCGAGCTCGAATGCCAAGGCCTGCAAAGCCTCTTGCGACATCTTGCTACACACAGTGGAGCCGACCAGCCTTTCGGCGAAGACTCACTTCAAGTACTCAATTGGCTAGTAAGACTCCATAAAGCGAAAGAGCCGCCGCAGAGGAGCGACGGACAAAGGAAAGCTAACCCCCTCAAACGGGCGCGGGAATATACCGATCAAATCACGGAGGAAGACGCCATTCACCCTCAGGTCACACATGAATCGATCCCTGGGCTCCGTCAAGCATCGGAAGCATCATGTCGCTTGTTCGATAGAAGAGGCTGTGAACAGGCTGAAGCCGACATTCGCGGAGAGATTCGTGGGTTCTTGAAGCTAACAGGTACGCGTAGAAAGTTGTTGGATCCCACCACGCAAAAGCTAACCCGTTGTTTCTACTCCATCCTGGGAATTATCGCCGAGCCATTGATCAACCTGAAGACCATTTCCAAGTTCTTGCTAGAACATCGCCAAAAGTGTCTTCCGATGAGCATCAGCGTCGAGTTCCATCCCATCGCAGCCCCTTGTAGCCCAGAGGTCCCTACCACGCATGGACCCACGTTGAGACTGATGCACTGTGAAATGCAGATTCTTGACTACTACATACTGCAGAGACGACCCAAGAACGGGGGTCAAGCAATGAAGTCACGTATAGGTAAGTACATTGGGATCTCCAAGCTATGTTGTCCTCTTTGCAGCATCGTCATGCGGACTATTCCGGAACTGTTCACTGTTGAAGATAACCATCAGGTCTTTTCGCACCAGTGGATGCTACCTGACTTCATGTGTTTAGACTCGTTCAAGCAGCACCTGGGAGGTTTTACCGATGTCCTTGAGGCTTGGGAGCAGCTGTCAGAGGCGGAGCTCAAGCGTCCGGGGGTTGAGGGAGGGGCTGGACCCTCGAAGCGTGGGAAGTCCCTTGCACGATAGATACCACTGAGGTACTGAAGTTTGTGTTTCACACCGAGAATAATATTTACTATTCTACATTCAATTTTGCAAGTAAGGTGTGGGGGTTTTGCGAAATGCAAGAGAAGTGCTTTGTAGAAGAGCCTCGCAAACGCGGCAAGGAGTTCTTGGAAAATGGCCTTGTAGAACATGGACGGTGCGTATGGAACTGCCATACCTAAAGCACCCTGGCTAGACAAGGAATCAGGCCCATGGAGAAGAATACAATTAGCTCGGTACGCTTTCAGAAGGCTCGGCAGGTTTGCTGTATGGCGGTAGCAGTGACTTCGGCAATTGACTTACAAGCCCACAAACATCTCTTCCGTCCCTAAAGTGCTCAAAGAGCGTTCCTTATATAGAGCCTACTTCCTAGGTTTGCGAGAAGACTCGGAGGCGTTCTTCCGAAAACTTGCATTCGACATGAATTCTTCTGTTTCGACCCTCCACTAAAGCCCACAATCATGCTAGCTCACTTGATTCTTCAGTTGCTCATATTCTATGCCTCCGCAAGCCATGCTGCTGTCATGCACGAATTCAACACCTCAGATGCCTGGACCAGCTCAACAACATCTTCCTCAATCGAACACCCATCAACTGTCAAGTATCCCACAAAATCGCTTCTGAGCCTCTTACCGCCAACAGTCACACCCTTCCTCTCACCAGAGAACTCGAGCATTCTTCAGCCACAAACCCAAGTGCCGGGCTCGAGAAGCTCGACTTCCATGCCGGTTCAGCCTCGAGGAGATGAGACACCCCTCAAGCTCTTCCCCATTGAATGCAACAATCCTTCTTACAAAGAGTACGAGCGCCACCGAGATGTGCACCATGACGGCGTGGATAAGGGCGTGGAACGATTCTGCGACTCGGATCTTGCACGCGATAACATCACTATCGTAGACGATGTACAAGATCACCCCCTTCACGCCTGGCGATGGCGCTACAAGGATAGATATGGGGTTTACTTGGACTTCAAGGTCAACTGGAAGGTGGGATGCCGCACCTCCCAAAATTTCCAAGATATTCAGCGGCCACTCGGTCCCGATGGACCGTCTTGTGATGATATCATGTCAGCTAACTGGAAGAATTGTAAGCCGTTCCCTTCAGGCCTCCGCCACAATTCGTTCCCTGGGAAACTCACTGATGCTTTGATCCGCAGGTATCAATGGGGGGATTGGCGGGGTGACGCAGGTTAGATGCCTCGTATTTACTCTGAATGCCGGACGAAAAGATCGATATTATTAAGAGTATGAGGGTGTCGGATTGGAAGTCTAATTCGACCTCGTAGCAGCGCAGGGGCCACTTATCGACCATATAGTTAATTATCGCGGCCTACCTAACCTGCGGTTAGAACCTCCTTTTTATACATACGTAGCAGAATTATATAATTAATTAACCTATTACTACGTTAACTTACGGTTCGAACTAATTAATTAATATCTTTATAATAAGGATATTAATACTAATTAGTAGTTAATTCTTATTATTATAGATTAGTAAGGTATTTTATATATAAATAAAATAACCTTTTTAAATAAAACGTAATAAGAGAATTATACTATTTAGCTTTATAAAAATAAGTAATAAAAGTAAATCTTTATAATAGAACGAAATAGAGGATCAGTACTTAATTACTTACGGAAGGTTAATATTTATTATATTAAAATAACCCCCTAATTAATAAAAGTACTAAGGTAATTAAGCTATTATTATCGACCTTATATATTTTTATTACTTAATTTTATTATAGCTAGCCCGTAATTAAAAAAGTAACCCTTATAATAAAAAATTACTTACGTAATAATTACTTATTTAATTAACCTATATAATAAATAAGCCCTATTATATAATATAAAAGGGTATTATATAAATAATAAAAAAAGATCCTTAAAATATAGAGAATAGTTAGATTTTACTTTTTATTTTTATTAATATTTAGTTTTATATAAAAGTTATAAAGTAGGGGTTTATTATTATAAAGATTTTATAAATACGACCTTGAGGTCTATAATTTAAATAATTATTTTATAACCCCTTAATTATTCCTAGACCTAGAGTATTATTATAAAATACTATATAAAAGATATTATAAAAAAAAAAAGAGGATTTAGAAATTATAATAATTATAGAGCTTAGTAATTATAAAACTTCGAGGTAAATTAATTAACTTTTAATACTAACGTTTTAAATATTTTTTAATTTTTAACAAAGTTAAAAAAGGCTACGATAATTACTAAAAAAAAAAAGAATTTTTAGAGGTTTTAAAAGCTTTTTTATATTATTATTTTATTAAATAAAATTATTAATTTTAAGAAAGTAAAAGTAAAATATTAATTAGTAGTAATTTGTTTAATATATATATACGCTTTTTAAATTTTAATTTAAAAGAAATACTATATAATTAAAACGTTATTAAGCTACTTATAAATCTATTTTTAATACTAATTAATTAAGGGAATAAAAAAGGCTATAAAAAAATAGTAGATAGTTATATTAACTAAGAGCTAATATTAATAAAGTAAAATATAAGTAAAAAGAAGGGAAGTTCCTAAACCTTAATAAATTTAATAAGTAATAATAATACGTTAATACTATAGCTAATAAGTAATTTTAAAATAACCTTATTAAA